AAGGGGCACCTTGATAGGATGTTGCTATTATGAATTGGATTATTAAAATGCTTACTTTGTGAGCTTTTTCTGTTGCCATTAATTATTCCACACAATATTGTGTTTATTTTATAATCTAAACTGTGACTAGGTTCATTTATTTTCTTGAGAAAAATTGAACATGGATTTTGGCATAGCAAATATTGAGTTTTAAATTTTCACTGTGGTTAGGAGTCAATGATTTTTTTTTTTTTAACAGATCAAGAAGTTGGTATATGTTTACCTGGTTCGATATGCTGAAGAACAGCAGGATCTGGCACTCTTGTCCATAAGCACTTTTCAGCGAGCTCTGAAGGTAAATAATGGAGTGAGTAGGCAAATAGCTGCAAGGTTTCTGCACAGTTGAAAGTGTGTCATTTAAAGAAGTGGAGCAATAATCCACTAAATAGCACAGTAGTGTTTTGAAAGAGTTAAAAGGCCTCCCATAGTGCCTATTCAATACCCTCGGAAAATAGTTATATAACCAACTGGAATCTTGCCATATATGTTGCAGCTTCTATATGTTTATGTTCTATATGATTATTATTTGTCAAAGAACTGTTTATGATTATACTGACTAGTTGAAAGTGTGTAAAAAGCGGACATAAGACATTTTTAAAAATAAAATTTATGACCTGTATGTAGCATTTTATTATTACACAATGCTAAAATCCCAGCACGTTTAGTAATAAATGATCAACCAGAATTATAGCTATTACATTTCTTTAAAACACTGTGTAGAAAAATAAATTTATTTACTTCCCTATTTTTTTTTTTACCCATTTCCATATACTGGTTGTTCATTTTAAATTAAGTAGACTATTTTTTTTAGCTATTGTTCTATAATATTACACCCTGTAAGTACCTATTAACTGTATCATAAAGATGTCTTTGAAATATTGTAAACTTGAAATTTTGATAACTATTTTTGCACTATTTTTAGGACCCAAACCAACTAATTCGTGCAAGTGCTTTGAGAGTTCTATCAAGTATTAGAGTACCCATTATTGTACCTATCATGATGCTCGCTATTAAGGAAGCTTCTGCTGACTTATCACCATATGTTAGGAAGAATGCAGCCCATGCAATACAAAAATTGTACAGGTAGGTGCTTTGTTCATAGTATAGCAAAGATCTCCAGTGTTACCTGGAATATTATAGACCACAGAGACTTATTTTATTAGCTCTTAAAACTGGTCTGTCCTTATACTAAGTAAATCCAATGATTGTTTTTTTTTCACCTATAAACATTCTGTATATATCTTTAATTTCGTTTTGGTTATAGAGACCCTATGCAGGTTTTTATTTGTGAGCCTATTAGGGCCTATGATAATTTTGAGATTTTACAACTTAAAAATAGTCAGAATTTGAATTCTCATTTATATAGTCTATCTCCTGTACACATATGCACATATTATTAGAAAATGGAGATTTTTTTCCTGTTTGCTGTAGGTTAGAATCTTTAGTGTATTTTCTTCTCAACACACTTATATTTGTTTTCCTTTCTTTCATTTTTGTTTCTGCTTCCCTCTTCCTTGTCTGATTCTT